CATCTTTTGTTCCTTTTAGTTCTGGATTCTCTGACCTCTTGGAACTTTTCAGAGACTTACTTGAACAAGCACCCTTTCACCTGATCCCATCAACTAATCAAAATTCCACATACATATTCAAATTAAGGCAACTCATTTTCGAGACACCCCCACACTGCTACTGGGACCGGCTTCTCTGTAAACGTCGCTTGCCTGCCCTTCGACAGTCCTTGCTTCTCGTTCTTTTCAGTTGTGAGACAGGATCAGTGTGACTCAAAAAACTGACGACTAGCTGCATATGGTGGCGTCCCAAGCACTCCAGATGCAGAAGCAGGAAAACCAACCCTCAAAAAAACTAAAACAAACAACAAAAGTAAACAAAAAAAATTAATGTATGTATTTATTTTTGTTGGGGGGAGGCCTATGGAAGTCAGTGGGAGAAAACAATCTCAAGTGTTGCAGAAAGGCACACACAAACAAAGGGAAAGTAATTTGGTAAGAATTTTTTTTTTTTTTTGCAAAAGAAGAAAATCTAGAGTTTAGAAAGACCCAGAGTTGAATGAGGAACTTGTTAAGGTCAGGGAACAAGAACAAAGCAGCCCAATTATTATTAGCTGACGGGCCTTTCTTGCTAGGGCTGGTTAATGATCAAAGGTAGTGATTAATTACTTACCCATTCCTGCCCTCAATCTCCTGGTGAAAGAAGCTATTGTTGAGTGGATATGCACTCTAAAGATTTAAAGTAGAACTGAGTGATTCTTTTTTTTTTTTTTTTTTTTTTTTTTTGGTTTTTTCGAGACAGGGTTTCTCTGTGGCTTTGGAGCCTATCCTGGAACTAGCTCTGTAGACCAGGCTGGCCTTGAACTCACAGAGATCCACCTGTCTCTGCCTCCCGAGTGCTGGGATTAAAGGCGTGCGCCACCACCACCTGGCTGAGTGATTCTTTTTCATATATAAAAGTTTAGATTTGTGATTCCTTTAAGATTCCTAATAAGATTACCTTTCAAGATAAATAAGAAAGTGATTGACCCTTTCTTTGTAACCATAAAACACAGTCTGTTAGCAATAGAATATCTGGTTTGCTTGCACACTGTTAATCTATAACAAAATGCTTGGGTATGAATGTACATGGGTCCTTGGGATAATTTGCTTTTTACCTGTAATATGTAAAATGTTTAATCATGTAAGGGATACAGAAAACATTCTGTTTTTTTCTCCTTGTATTCATTGTAGTCATTCACTTGGAAAACAGAATGTAACCACATTGTAATTTTTATACTGCCTGAAAGGTTTTGCTGGGGTTATAAAATGTAGGAGAGAGAATAGAGAGAGAGTTAAAATGAGTTAGAAGGAAAACATCAAGAACGAGAGAAGGAAATCACCAGGAATATGAAGACCAGAAGAACACAGAAGAGTCAACAAGGAAACCATCCATACAGAGTGAGTGTCTTTTTCCCTGACCCCTCAGATAGAAAAGTCTAATGTGCTGACTCTAGATTCCCTTTGAGCCCTGCCCTGCTGGAAGCTGGTCCCCCAGGCAACACGTCATTCCGTCCACATTTGGTTGACATTCTACTTAAAGAAGAGTTTTCTGAGCTGAACTCAGTTGGTTTACACCTGTGGTTCTAGTGCTCAGGAGTCCAAGACAAGAGGTTTGTAATGGTTTCTGCCAGCCTGGACCATCAAATAAAACCCTGTCTGAAAACAGTGAAAACTAAAACAACAAACAAAAAACTTTCATAAGTGTTGTACTAAATGCCTTTATTCCCAGCACTTGGGAGACAGATGCAGCCTGATCTCTGAATTAAGGGTCAGCCTGGTCCCAGGAGAGCCAGGGCTACCCAGAGAGACCCTGTCTCAAAAAAAAAAAAAAAGTGTGCCTCACCACACCCAGCTTATTGAAACTTTTCTCATGACAGAACAAAGAAAGCCACAAATCAAAACACTTTCTAAAAAATCACTGGTGAAAATACCAGAAAGGTGTTTACAGCAGATGGGCAAAGCTCTCTCATAAACCCCATGGAGCATACATCCATAAACTGGACTGTGTGTTCCAAAACTACGAGCTGCACATCTCTTCTTTCAAGCATCTTATTACAGAGATGAGGAAAGAAACTAGTGTGAAGGACAAATACAAACAGAACATCCCCCGCATACAGTGCAGGTAAGGGGAGCCCTGTGGCCCACAGACCAAAGAGAAACCATGAGGTTTTAATCAAATCTGTTGCCAACTCGACCCTTATGTGGAGGAGGCTGGAGCTGAGTAGTTATACTCCTGAGGACAGAGACCAGTGTCTTCTTTCTCCAACAATTCTCATGTTTAACCAAGAAGTGGTGGCGTGTGCCTTTAATCCCAGCACTCGGGAGGCAGAGGCAGGCAGACGTCTGTGAGTTCAAGGCCAACCTGGTCTACAAGAGCAAGTTCCAGGACAGGTGGCCTCTACCGAGAAGGAGGATTCAGGATTTTTCTTGTCCTGTTTTGCCCAAAAAGTCTCGGCCTCACCCAAGGAAGCTCAGGGACACTGGGGCTGTGACTCTGTGACTCCTAGTGAAGCAGCAGGTTAGTGCCACCAACAACCACCATGAATTTACTCCAGACATGCAGAGAATCATAAGGAAAAAAAGACCCACCCCTTTAATGATGATTTCTGGCTAACACACACAGAGACACCACCCTTGAGCAGAAATTCTTTGCAGCTTATGTAGATTTTGATCTATAACATTTCACATATACTGTGATCTATAAATCCTGCTTAGGTTCCAGCACGAAGGTACACTTTGAGCATGTTTTACATGAACCAGAAACTGCAAGTGTGGCCATTTGAACAAATAAGAGATTTACATGGCAAAAATGTTGACCAATGCTGTTCTTTTTTATGTTCTTAACAAGGGATATCTTTTTGTTTTGTTTTTCGAGACCAGGTTTCTCTGTAGTTTTGGTGCCTCATGTAGATAAGGTTGACCCCAAACTCACAGAGCTCTGCTTGCCTCTGCCTCCCAAGTGCTGGGATTAAAGGTGTGTACCACCACCTCCCGGTTAACCAAGGATATGTTACTTGCCTGGAAGAATTACAATCCTTTTGATATGGGAATATAACCTAATGGGTAGCAGTTTTTATTGTTGTTTGTTATTTTGGTTTGGTTTTGGTTTTTCTAGACAGGGTTTCTCTGTGCAACAGCCCTGGTTGTCCTAGAACTTGATCTGTAGGCCAGGATGGTTTTGAACTCACAGAGACCCACCTGCCTCTGTCTCCCAAGTGCTGGGATTAAAGGTGTGCGCCACCATGGCCCAGTTGTGAACAAATCTCAACCAAAAGATATCCTCCATAATCCTAAACTCTTAATTTTGTTAGAAGTACAGCTCTAATTTCTCATCTCTCTGTAGTTTTTAAGAAGTTTGTTTAGTAAAGGAAATCAGGCAGTGCCTGGGGCAGGCACCCTATAGGGTCTGGGCCATTTCACCCCACTGTGTCCTCAAGGTAGAGTTGGCTCCTCGGCTTAGCAAAAGCTCTATGGTTGTTCTGTGGTCACACTCCACAGCAAGGTGCAGAGGGGTCTTGCGGAGCCAGCCGGCAGCATTGACCTGTGCACCCCTGTCCAGGAGATGGCTGACAACTTCTACGTGGCCTCTCCGGGCAGCGTAGTGCAGGGGCGTGAGACCCAGCGAGTCCTGAGAATCCACCTCTATGCCCTTGGCCACCAGCAGCTGTATAACAGGTAGATGTCCGCCAGAGGCAGCCCTGTGGAGTGCGGAGCAGTTGTTCCTGTCCGTGATACGTAGGTCTGCCCCATGGTCCAGCAGAACCGCCACATCCTGGAAAAGGAAAGAAAGAAGAGAGAAAGAGCCCATCACCCTGGTTTAGAGGGCCTGGTGTTTGCCTGGCCCAAATCCCTACAGCCTCTTTTTTCTTTTAGGAATAAATAGATGAAATCTGAGGCAGCCTCAGATTCTTGGATCAAATTCAACGCTGTGCAAAGGCTGTGTAACAACCCCTGGTGCTCCCTGTGCCCCACTGCTCTTGAGCTTCAGCCAAATACTTAAATAAATGATTGTTGCCAGGCATTGTGGCCCACACTAATCCCAGCACCCAGGAGTCAGAGGCTGGAGGATCTATGTGAGTGCAAGATCAAGTCGGTCTACATAGAGAGCTTCAGGCCAGCTAAGGCGACATAGCAAATTGCTGTTTCAGGAAAACTTAAGTATTCACCCAATTCATTGCTATGGGCCACCAGAACAAAGTGGGGTTGGCAGGTGTGGGAGGGTCCAACTGAGAGCCTGCTCACCTCCCAACCCCTCCACCCTGCCCACCAGTGCTTCAGCATCTTTCTGCGTTGTTCCTCTCCTCCCTCAGAGCTTATGGAAGTAAGTGTAGAGAACCAAGCTCTTGGGATTCCTGCACAGTCACTGCAGGTGAAGGCTGGACCTACTTGGTGGTGGCCTAGGCCAGCTGCCAGGCCAAGCGCGGTGACTCCCGTGCTGTCCAGGGCATCCACCTTTGCCCCCAGTGCCAGGAGAAGCCGCAAGGTTGATGCACTTCCAGCTACCGCTGACACCAGCAGGGCGCTGTCCAGGTCTAGGCTGCCTCCAACAGTCAACAGCTCTAGTATAGGCAGTCGCCCGCATGCCGCAGCCCAGTGGGTGGCGGTCCAACCTCTTAAGTCCTTCACGGCAGGGTCTGAACCTGGTGCGGCCAGAAGGCTTGTAACCAGTAGCGTGTGGCCCAGCGCAGCTGCCCAGTGGAGGGGCGTGAGACCCGTTTGAGAGCATGCCACCGCTGAGGCCCCACGCTGCAGCAATAGTTCCGCCATCTTTGAGTGTCCGTGCCAAGCAGCCTCGTGCAACGGTGTGCGCCCTGTGTGATCAACTGCGCCTGCCAGGGACCCACGCTGCAACAGTAGGCGTACAAGGGGCACGTGGCCTCGCATCACAGCCAGATGGAGCGGAGTCCGACCTGCGTGATCCCTGTGGGATGCGAAATACGTGAGGGTGCTTCCTACCAAGTCAGCCCCAGTCGGAGAAAGTCTGGAGCTACTCATGCGGCTTACCTCTCCTCCACACTGGCACCTTGCCTCAGCAGCTGTATCACCAGGCTGGGAGCACCCTGCCACACTGCCTGGAACAGAGTACTCCAGGCTTGGGAGGTAAGAGGTTTCTCTGTCTTGTCTGCCGGGGCCGCCTCCCAAATCAGCTCCATCCACTGCAGTTCCTGCTCCAGCCTGCTGGAATCCATCTGGGAAGAGCATCCACCCTGAGGCCTCCTGCTGGTTCACCCTACCTGTCCCACGTCACCACCCGACTAGGGGGACTCAGATACCTCTTAGCCTTCTGAAGGGTCTTGGCTCCCAATTACCTCCAGAGGGAACTGGGGCAGGAGCCCGAGGGTTCTCCCTATTATTTCTAGGCTAGCTTCAATCTGGTGACCCTCCTCAGAAGTTTTTTTCTTGCAGGTTGAGAGGTGGGTGCTACTCCTGGGAGGCTAGATTGAAGTTAGGAGTGGGCAAAGATCTGTTGCTTCCTTATGGGCCATGCTGAGGTCACCTGACACTGTTTATTTAGTAATTTGAAGGGAGTCTCTGCCTGCCAGGGAGCAAGCAGACTCTGCCTGAGCACTCTTGTCCCCTAGCAGGCTACTAAAGCTCTTGGCCACACTCCCAGGAACAAAAGCCAGGACAGGTTGGGAAGGACAAGCAGGAACATGCCTTGGATGGCAGCACCTCCTTCCTACCTTCCTCCAAGTAACACAAACTTTGATATGTTCTGACTTGCCCCCCCACCCCCGGCACCCTGCGATCTACCTGCCCCCACCCCATCCTGGGGCTGGAACCACCTCTCCTCCTAGCTTCAGACAGGGTTGGGGAGTGGACCCTGTAAGGTTCTATCGTTCTTCCCAATAAGATGCTCGGAAAGAGAGAAAGGTTCACCACTGACATCTGAACGGTGGGGTTGGAAGCTCTTGGAGAACCGGTTAAGACAGGCTAGTGCAGGCTATGAGACGGAAGAAATGTCAGCTAGCAAGGATATTTCTGGGACAGGGGATGCTAAGAACTCATGTCTAGAGGTAGAAAGGAGACCCTGAAGGAAAAAGGCTTCCATATGGATACTTGACTTTGGGCCTGGGACAGAGAGGGCAAGGTCCCAGTATGTATCTTACTACATAGCCTTAGCTAGTCTAGAACTCATTATGTACATCATAAAGATCCACCTGCCTCTGTCTCCCAAGTGCCTCTGAAGACACCTGCACTCATGTGAACATGCCCACATATAAACACATGCACATAATAAAAAAAATAGCAGGAGCTAGAGAGATGGCTCACACTTAAGAACTTGCTGTTCTTATAGAGGGCCAGGGTGAGATTCCCAGCAGCTACATGGTGGCTCACAACCCATTCGTAACTCCAGCTCCAGGGGATCTGACACCTCTTCTGTGAGCACCAGGCATGCACATGGTGCATATTCATCCATGGAACCAAAATACTCACACATATCAAATAAATAAGTCATTAAGACATTTAAAATAAAATATCAGTCAGACATGATGATGCATACTTTTTGGTTGTTGTTTTCAATACAGGGTTTCTCTGTATATCCCTTGCTGTCCTAGAACTTGCTTTTCTTTTTTTCTAGAACTTGCTTTGTAGACCAAGTTGGCCTCAGACTTAGGGATCCACCTGCCTCTGCTTCTTGAATGCTGGATTTAAAGATGTAGGCCATTATGCCTAACTATTTTTAATCTCAGCACTCAGGAGGCAGAGGCAGGTGTATCTGTATGAGTTCAAGACCATCCTGGTCCACATATTGAGTTCTAGGCTAGCCAGCAAGGGCTATGCAGTGAGGTGAAGACTAAAATAAATAAACAAATATATTTGAGACAGGGTTTCTCTGTAGCTTTGGTTCCAGTCCTGGAGCTAGCTCTTGTAGACCAGGCTGGTCTCGAACTCACAGAGATCCACCTGCCTCTGCCTCCTGAGTGCTGAGATTAAAGGCGTGTGCCACCACCACCCAGTGAACAAATATATATATTTTTTTATAAGTTTTTCGAGACAGGGTTTCTCTGTGGTTTTGGAGCCTGTCCTGGAACTAGCTCTTGTAGACCAGGCTGGTCTCGAACTCACAAAGATCCGCCTTCCTCTGCCTCCCAAGTGCTGGGATTAAAGGCGTGCGCCACCACCGCCCGGCGCAAATATATTTTTTTTAATTTTTTTGAACAAATATATTTTATGTATTTATTTTTTAATATTTATTTATTTATTATGTATACAATATTCTGTCTGTGTGTATGTCTGCAGGCCAGAAGAGGGCACTAGACCTCATTACAGATGGTTGTGAGCCACCGTGTGGTTGCCGGGAATTGAACTTAGGACCTTTGGAAGAGCAGGCAGTGCTCTTAACCACTGAGCCATCTCTCCAGCCCCAAATATATTTATTTTTAATTACAAGAGTGTGGGCACAGTAAGGAGATAATTTACAACACTTAAGATTTTTTGGATGTGTTTATTTTACTTTATGAGTATGGACATTTTGCCGGAATGTATATATGTGTAGTACAAGCATGCCTGGTGCCTACATAAGTCAGAAGAGGGCACCAGACCCTCTGGAACTGTAATGACAGAAGCTTATGAGGCAACATGTGGACGCTGAGAATGGAACCTGGCCTCTACAAGAGCAGCAAGTGCTCTTAACCAATGAGCCAACTCTCCAGCCCCTGCAACACTGTTTAAAAATACTTTTATTTTTCTTATTTTAGTTGTATGCTTGTGGTGTGTATGTGTGTGCAAGTGTGCATATAGATATATGAATATGTGGGCAGGAAATCAGAGGCATCAAAGCCTCACGGAGCTGGAGTTACGAATAGTTGTGGGCTGCCTGAAGCAGGTGCTGGCACCGAACGTAGGTCGTTCTACAAGGACAATATGCGTCTTAAGCCTCTGAGCTATGAGCACCTTACAATACTCTTTACTCCGGATTCACTACCCAAATACACAAACAGCCACGGTCACAGCTGGCGGTGCCAGGCATGCCAGTGAAAGCAAGCTGCCTTTCGTGGAGCATATCAAACGCCACCTGGAAAGCTGTCCAGGATCGGAAGATATTCCAAGGAAAGTTGGAAGTGACAAAGCCCACTGGAAGAAATGGCACAGAAGGGGAAACATTAGCTCCCCTTAAGGGTCAATAGCTTATGTAAATAGGGCTTAAATGCTGTCCGCTGTGTACTTCCAGTGTGAAGGCATCTTAGCAATATTGGGGGTTAGTGGCTGGAGCTTTCGGTGGATTACATGTTCTCACCATCTGAAAAGCCTGTTGCATGCTTCCACGATGGACTGGATTCAGTGCAGAGTAACTGAGTGGCTGCTCATCAGGTAACAGCTATCTGCCAGGTACTACAGTAAACACTAACCTCTGAACAACTCCACAGCATGGAGTCACTTGGTGGCTTCACCTTTTTTTAATGATTTTTTTGTTTTTATTTTATGTGCATTGTTGTTTTGCCTGTATGTATGTCTGTGTGAGGCTGGATGCCCTGGAACTGGAGCTACAGACAGCTGTGAGCTGCCATGTGGGTGCCGAGAATTGAACCCAGGTCTTCTGGAAGAGCAGCCAGTGTTCTTAAGTACCAAGTCCTCTCTCCAGTCCTATGGTGTTTTCATCTTATACTGACAACAAAGAGGGGTCTACTTGTTAGAAAAGGGGAATTGCGGGGTCTGGGGCTAGGAAATGAGTTAGCGGTTTGTCCCTAGAGGGGATTGCGGGGACTGGGGCTAGGAAATGAGTTAACGGTTTGTCCCTAGATGGCAGCTATTAAAGGACATTTGTCATAGCCAGGATCTGTGAAATGGAGCCATTGTTTGGGAGAACTGGAAGCTGGGGAAGGGCGGGCTGTGAGGAAGGAGGGCCATAGTGCTCAGATAGGGATAGCTGTGTAAGACCTAACCAGAGCACTCAGGAGCTGCCTTCATTTGCCTGGCAAAGAGGCCCAACAAGGTAGTGGGGGAAACTGTGACAGGGGTGTAGCCCTGGAGACAGATATCCGGTGCTAGACTAAACAGGACAGCAGTCCACTATCTGGTGTCTAGGATCTAGATGTGAACTGAACCGGGGGGAGGGGAAAGGATCACTAGTCTGGGCTTGGCGGTGGGAGCTAGTCCTACCGCTTACTGCTGTGATCTTAGGGAAAGCATCCTTCAAGGTCCACAGCCAGGACATGAGTGAGCAGCAGGAGAGGGAGACAGAAGAGGATGAAGGAGGTACTTCAGACACAGCGCCCATGCTGCCTCGAAGAAGGCCTACTGACTACCGTATCCCAGTCCTGGTATGCCCGGGGTGGCCCATCCTGACCACTGAAGGCCTCAGGACCCTGCTGCTGCCTGGCCGGGCTCTGGTTGGGTTCCTGTGCCATCTGCTGCTACCCGGGACAGTCTTCCTGCTGGTGTTGCTGCCAGCTGCTGCCATTGTCTACCTGGGATTCCTGTGCCACTCAAGGGTGAGCATTGGCTAGTCCCTGGGGGGTGGGAGTCCTGTAGAGGTTCAAGTCCCTGGGATCGAAAGTGAATCGACCCCCTTCCAGCCCTGCCCCTTTGTATGCAGAGATGTATGTGTCCTCTTCTGTAACCTCCTCTTCTGCCAACACCCCTACCAGCTGCAGACAAAGAAAAGCTTTTGTTTGTTACTCAGGAACAGCTGTCTTGCCTGTCCCAGGCCTCTTTGTACCAGTAGGCACCAGGGCCTGGTCTGTGAGGTCGAAGTGAAGATAGGAAAATAAATTGTCAAATTTCACCTATACTCAGTGCCTCTCCACTCTTCCCCAAACCCTCTTGACCTGGTCTGGGCTTCCCCACCTGTGGAGAGGGCTATGGCTTGATCTATATATAGATGGCCCCTATATTCCTTTCTGTGGCTTCCGGTGTGGGAGAGAAATGACGCTAGCTGGTGAAGCGGCAGCTGGGGGTAAGGGCCTTGGGGACAGAAAAGCTGGGTTGGGAGAGCCAGGGAAGTTCTTGGAGCCTTTCCTTCAGCCCTACCTGGGCCATTTATAGTCTGGGTTCCAGATCTCCCCCAAAAAGACTTCAACACTGCTTGGCTCACAGCAACCACAACTCAGGCCAACTCTCTTTGTTGTATTCTGGCAATTTCTGTCCTCCAAGCCCCACTTCGCTCTCCAGGCCCCGCCCCTTGTCTCTCTGGACTCTTCTGCAATCTCTAGGCTCTGCTTGGTCCTCCCCTCCAGACCTTGGACCCTGGTCCTTCCTCACGACTGCACCACCCTGGTGCATCCTGGTCCGACCCCACGCCTCCACTGTCCGCAGGTTCATCCAGCCCCGGGTCCACGGTGCCGAGCGCTGCTCTCCGATCGCGGCTCTGCCGCGCTCATCGTGTTCGGATTCCTCTCCCTGCCGCCTCTCCTGGTGCTCGCCTCCGCCGCCCGCTCCCTCCTGGTCCGGCGACTACGCCCTGTCCTGCCTACCCCGGCGAGAGCCCCCGAACCGCGCCGCCCACAGAGATGCAGCGAAGAGGAGCTGGCGGGCGGCCGCCCTGACGAAGAGAAACAACTTTGTGCCTGGGTCTGATGCCTCAGAGACGTCTCCGTGCCTCCACTTGACTCCCAGAAAGTGGGCGGACGAGTGGAGCGGCCGCCTCTGGGCTCGGAGCGCAGTGCTCGAAGTCGCCAGGAGATGGCAACCGGGTCCCTTGGACCGGGTTGGTGCTTCTCTCTCAGAGGAGGGAAGTGTTCCTCTGAGAAGGTTCCATGGGCTTTGCTCCCTTACCAAGCCAATGCATTCCACTCCTACCTGTGGTCAGCAGCAGCTTTGCGGATATCTATGTTTCCCAAAACCAAGCTAGTCCTAGAAGCTCCAGTGTGATCAGTATCAACCAGACTTCATAACTTACCTTGAGACTCAGGAGTCATCTTGAGTCTCAAGGTCGGCCCATGGCCCAGGACAACGGCTCAATTGTGTCTATAGTCAAACATTTACTAGGTAAGGTTTTGTCCACACTTAGTCTGCGACCAGGATTAGTGGCTCAGTAAGTCCACGGTCAGCACTCTGTTTATAGTGTGTGTGTGTCTTTTTAATATATAGTTTATTTTATGTTCAGTGATGTTTCTTGTGTAAGGGTGTCCCAAGCCCTGGAACTGGAGTTACAGACAAGTGTGAGTCTCAGTGTGGGTACTGAGAATTGAATATGCGTCGTTTGGAAGACCAGACAGTGCTCTTAGCTGCTGGGCCATCTCTGCAGCCCCTAGTACTCAGCTTGTATTCGGAATCAGGTATCAATGTATACCCAGAACTGGGGCTCCACCTCTGACCAGGGTTCTTTCTTTTGAGACAGGCAGCAGGAAAAGAGCTCAATTTACAATGTGAGAATTTTTGCTTGTTTGTTTTGTTTCTTTGTGGTTTTGGTGCCTGTCCTGGAACTAACTCTTGTAGACCAGGCTGGCCTTGAACTCACAGAGATCCGCCTGCCTCTGCCTCCGGAGAGCTGGGATTGATGGCGTGAGCCACCACCGACTGGCTACAATGTGAGAAATTTTAAGATTTATCTTTGCATTTGACATGCTACAGCTTTACTAACAAGTTCCTATGTATGGGTAAATTACCATTCTTCTTCCACTCCTCCTCCCTGTCTCCCATCTCCTCTTCTTCCTCCTCCTTTCTCCTCCTCTTCTTCTTCCTCCTTTCATGTCTTCATACATACTAGTACTAAAATATCTTATTTAATTTTTCAGTGATCCTAAGAAAGAATTCCAAACCTTATACTTGTTAGGCAAGCACTCTACCACTGAGCTATATCCTCAGCTAGGGACATGTTTTTTTAAAATTTTTTGATTTTTTAAAAAATATTTATTTATTTATTATATACACAGTGTTCAGCCTCCATGCCTGCAGGCCAGAAGAGATTACAGATGGTTGTGAGCCACCATGTGGGTTGCTGGGAATTGAATTCAGGACCTTCAGAAGAGCAGTCAGTGCTCTTAAACACTGAGCCATCTCTCCAGCCCCTTGGTTGGTTTTTTGAGACAGGGTTTTTCTGTGTAGGCTGGCCTCAAACTGAAAGATCTGTGGTGCCTCTGCCTCCTGAGTGCTGCAAATAAAGGCATGCATCACCACACCCATCTAATAAGTTTTTTTTTTCTTTTCTTTTCTAGACAAGGTTTCTTTGAGTAACTCTGGCTATTCTGGAACTAGATATGTAGACCAGGCTGGCCTCGAACTCACAGAGATCCACCTGCCTCTGCCTCCTGAGTGCTGGGATTAAAGGTGTGTGCCACCACTTCTCAGCTAAGATTTACTATTATTATTTTTTAACTTTTTATTGATTCGTTGTGAATTTCACATCACGCGCTCAGTTCCCATTCATTTCCCCATCCCTTCCGTATCTACACCTCCTGCCCTTGCAACCTCCCCACCCCCAATAAAATAAAAATTTTTTTGGTATAAAATAAAATTTAAAAGAAAAAAAAACAACTCGTCATGGGAGCTGTAGTGTGTCACAGTGAGTCACACAGTGTGCCCGTTAGTTCATCCATCTTTGCTCACAAGTCTTCACTGCAGTGAGTCACCGGTCTAGTTTATGGCCTCTGACTTCTGCTACACTATTAGTACTGGGCCCTCACTGAGACTCCTCTTGGAGATCCTGTTGTTACCCTGTATCATGGAGACCCTGCAGCTTCGAATCTGCAGGACTAACTTTTTCACATGTTCTAGCTGTTCACAGAAGGGGTGGATGTTGGGGTGGGCCAACTCACAGCCCTGGTTCTGGGCCTGGGTGGCAGATGGCCAGCTCTCCCTCATCCTCACCACCACGTCACCCTCTCCAGCACTGCCTCAGCTAGCTCACCCACACCCGTACCACAAGGGCCAGCTCTACCGTGCTGCCCAGGCGAGTTGAAGGGGCCACCCTCCCTCCTGAGCGCTGCAGTTGATGAGGGGCAAAGTCAACTTTCCTGCTCCCATGCTGCAGGTGACAGGGGCAGAGGGGAGGGTGGAGGGAGGGGTGAAAGGCATCTCTCCTCCCATGCTACCACATGACAGATGCGGTGACCATGGGGCCAGCTCTCCCCTCTCACCCCCTCTGGGCCAGTTCATCTGTGCCCGCTCTAAACAACAGGGTCAGCTCTGCTGTGCTGCCCAGGCAAGGTGCAGGGCCCACTCTCCAGAGAGCTGCAGCCAGTGAGGGGCAGGGCCCACTCTCCCTGGTGCTGCAGCCAGTGAGGGGCAAGGCCAACTCTGTGCAGCTTTTGGATATTAACGTGGTCCCAGGCGGCAGTCCAGACCAGGGACATACACATGGCCTTTGGTGGTGATATGGGCTGTGGACATCAACACAGACCCCTGCTGCTGCATGGCCATGACCATGGCCCTCAGTGGCAGCATGAACCGGGACTCACCGTGGTCTCCGGTGATTTTGCAGGCTACTCACCTCAGGCTGTTTCTCTCCACCTTCACTTCTTCAGATCCACCTCTCTTCATAGTACTCAAACCGTTCTTCTCCATCTCTCTGCCCCACACTTGCTCGTTCGTCACAGTGGCTTGGGCTGTGGGCGGGGTCTCTAGGACGGTAAGACTGTAGTTCAACACAGACCTGTCCAGTTAGTAGCAAGTGCCTTAATCCTCTGAGCCATCTAACTGGTTCTTTGGTTTGGGGCTTTGTAAAGTTTAATTTAGGGGGGTAGTGGAGCTTTTGAGATATATATGTTCTTATAAGCCTAACAATATATTAAAACATGTTTATTATAATTTACCTGGAATCTAGTTATAACAGACTTTTTAAATTTTTTAACTTTTATGGATCTATGTAATCCAGGCTGGTCTAGAATTTATGATCCTCCTGCCTTTGCCTCTCATGTACTGGAATTATAGGAATATGTTATTATGCCCAGACCTAAATATTTCTTTAAGGATCCAGCACACTATTTTGCCAGTGTGGCTCAGCCTGTAACCAGCACAGCCAGAGCTCAGCCTACGGTCTGGATCGAGCTGATTTTGTGGCTGCGGGCATAGCCAGCGTGTGGCTGGCTCAGGTCTATTGAGTGTCTTGTGTGTCTCAGGGTTTTCAACCTTCATGTGTGTCCAGATTTGATTCCTTTCCTGAGCAGACAGAGTGACGGAGTCAGCTGGTTGCCAAACTGCCCAGGAGTGCTTCCTCTGGAATGAAGCCGTCTTCCTTCTCCTCCTGCCAGGAACTAGTCTGGCCACCCCCAGAGGTTGAAGATGAAGACTCTCCTGGGAAGCCCTTGGCTGAGGTTTGGATCTGCCTGGCCCCCAAACCATCAAAACAACAGCTGGGCCTGGTGGGGGTGGGGAGGTGACTGCAGAGATCAACTCCTAAGCTGAAGTGATTGCTGGCTGGGTGAGGAACTCCGTCACAGCAGCTGTCTGGGACATTCCATTTCTGAAAGGTGTTCCCCAGCTTCTCGAGCCCATCTTGAGGCCTTGGGCGTCCTCCAGGTGGCCCTGGGAAAGTCTAAAGGAGGCAGTGGGATGACCTACTTTAGCCCGGTCTTTCAGATTTTCTTGTTATTTAATTTAATTTGATTTTTCCGGGCATTTCCCAAAGGAACTCTGTGTGCAGGGCATGATGGTTTACACCTGCAATCTCAGCACTAGGGAGGCTGAGGCAGAAGAGTTGCTGTGAGTTTGAGGCCGGCCTGGGCTACAAAATAAGACTGTTGACAAAAAAAGAAAACACCATTGCTCTGTGAATGGTGCTGGGTGTAGCAGGGTGTAGTCTGGTGTTTACATGAGGCAAAGAGATGACCTAGGTTCCATTCACACAGCATCACACACAAAAAAAGAAGAAGAATGCTGTGGAGACTGTATGAGGTCTGCAGAAGGGTCTAGGGTCTGTATTTATCTGTGAAGAATAGGGCTATGCCAGCCGGTAGAGCAGACAACCTGGCTCACCACACAGCAGGCACAGGTCTGGGGTCACTGCTCCTTCGGGAGCCCTTCCATTTCCACCACCACATGAACAGGTCGTGCCTAGGATCCTCGTGTCTAGACTCTAGCCTGAAAGTCCAGAGCAGCCTCTTTGTTCTAAGGGCCTTTATCTCCCCATCAATAAACTCCCACGTGGGTTTGCTGCACGGTGTGACTCATTTCTTGCCACCGCTGCTAAACAACTCTTCTCTCCAGTTCCTCAGGGCTACAGATAAGCTGCAAGGTGGGAATGCTTGCTCCTTTCCAGTAACTGTGGGCCTGCCTTATAAAAGGGAGCCTGGCTGGTGTATGCACACATATATGACTGTGTCCTGCCTATATTCCTCTTATCTTTGGGTGAGAGCATCACCACAGGTGAAGAGACTGGGCACAGGGAGATTCCCACCTTCCTTAAACCATGTATTCATTCACAAAGTATTTGCAGACACACCCTCAGACAGTACCAGCCAGGAGGGGCCCTGGGTTTAGCCAGTTTCCTTCATCCAGCTTTAGGTCTGGGCTTAAACTCTAGCCTTGCTCTCCTTCCAGACGTGGGTTGGGCTTTGGTAGAGTCAGGAACTGAGCCCTGGAGTGAGGGGGTTGGGGGTGTTGAGTAGGAACAGGCAGAACTGGTGCTGGCCCTGAGAGTGGAAGCCACTCCCCCTTCTCTTAGGTCCCCACTGCTGGAAGATTCCCTTTCAAGACTATCTGGACCCTCCTCAGGATGGGACAGGAAACCTGGGTCACCTCTTACAGAAGCAATCCAGCCAGGACCCAAATCTGGGGGTCCCATGTCAGGATGGATCATTACTGGTCAGCTAGCGGCACATTTGGGGCTTGCAGCCCATCTCTGAGACTGTTTTTCTAGGAGCATGGAATCAGCTGTCCTTGACTTCCATACCCTCCAAGCTTCTCCTGGTACTCAGAGTCACATCATCCTCCCTGTGGTCTGAAGGCCACACAGCCTGGCGTGCTTCCCGTGTCCTAGCCCAAGCAGCCTGCCACATACACGTATTCCTACCCACAGTCCCCCAGCTCTTGGCATTTGCCGTTGCCTCTGCCTTCTCGTAGCTCCTACCACGGGGTCCCCATCTCACACAATTATACCCTTTTCAGGGAAAATAAGCAGCCCTGTGTATTAGTTACTTTTGTGTATCTGTGACCACAATAGTACAACTGACAGGAACAACTTAAGATTTGCTTCAGCTCAAAGTCTCAAAAGGTTTCAGTTAGTCGTGGTAGGGAAGGCAGAGCAAAGTCGTTCAGACCATAGCAGTGAAAGGTACTTCCTATCACAGCAGACCAGGGAGCAGCAACATGAGCCAGTAACTGGTCTTTAACCCTCAAAAACCTGCCCTTAGTTAGGCACAGACTCCTAAAGGCTCACAGACTCCTAAAGCTTCATGAACTTCAAAAAACTAACTAGGGTCGGGCGGTGGTGGCGCACGCCTTTAATCCCAGCACTCGGGAGGCAGAGGCAGGTGGATCTCTGGGAGTTCGAGGCC